ACAATACTGCAGATATGATACCTTCTACAACAGTTCTGCAGATATGACACCTTCTAAATGTGATAGATTTAACTTTCAAATGCGTTGGTTTAGTCTGATATTTTCAAAGCTTAATCTGATGTATTTGGATTCATTAGCAGTGACCCTCTCAGAATTAAAAATGACCTTGTAAGTGGCACTTCTGAATTGATCCTTAGCAAAGGTTATTTTTCTGGAAATATTTCTGAACTATTACTTTGTTAAGCAGTTGCACTTCAGATTTCATTGCTCATCTAAGTTCAGGTTATTGTGAGTGGAGCGCCTTAATTCCCGTGTCCTCAGAAGCAGCAGACAGAGTTGGATCACTGTGACACTGCAGATGACTGAGCATGTTTCTGTCCTCTGTCAAGTATTCTGTTTGTGTCTGACTAAACACCATTAGAGCACAGGATTGAGGAAAGGGTGCATGATTATTCTTCCTGTTGAATTATTCAATATGGTTTTGGTCTGTGCTAGCCAGTCCTCCCCTGAACTGCATTTGGGTCCAATGCAATAACCCACACAGACCGAGGGCTGTTTCCAGCAGGATAGCTCTTCCTGTGGTAGGAGTTTAGCTGGCTGGATGTGAACTAACACAAGCCCCATTGCCTCTGGGGCTGTAAAACGTCTGATCTGTTTTACTTTCTGGTATAAACATGGGCTATTTCATCTTTCCCAGGAATTCCTAGACTTGGTGAATGCTCATATCTGTTTTGAAACTTTTTGTCATGAATTAGGGACAGACAAAAGTCCAAAGAGCCAGTGTTCAGGGACAGAGGAATGTTCCAACTTTGAAGTATAAACAAAATCTAACAGCTGTCATGTGGGATCTCTCAGTGAGATTGGGAAAGTTTTGCTTTATGTATTCCTTCAACTTCTCTTCAGTTTGCAAAGTACAGCATGTGGTGGCATAAGATGACTTATGATAATCATCTAGTATTTATTTTTCTTGGGTATAATTTCTGCATAAATAGATGTGAAATCCCAGTTTATTTCATTATCATCCCTGGCTACTTGTTTGTTTTGTCTGTGAAACTCCTCTGCGAGTTGCTGCATCAACATTCATTGTGCAATGCTGTTATTTACTGTGTAACAGGTTGAGAACAGCCCTGGCTTTTCCTGTAAAAGTTACATTTTTTCTTGGCTGACAGGATGTGCAGAGCTGTGCCAAGAAAAAAAGCATTCCTTATTAGCTTGGTGCGTGCAGGTATGTGTCTTCATACATATGTATAAACACGCTTACTGGAGGGACTAGAAGTGCTTTGGCACATCATCTTCTCCCATTACCTGTCTAACCACAGATATTGCAGTCCCTGTTCAGGCTGCAACTAGTCTGTCTGTGTGGGCACGCATGACAGCACAGCTTTACTTAAGTCTTCACTGCCCTTGCCCCTGTGAGTAAAAACTCAGTGGCATGATTTCTGCTTGTCTTTTAGCCTTGTGATATTTGCTATTTCTAAAATCGTCAAAACCTGTGAATATTGAGATGCATCTTGAGTGCAGCAGCATCATGAGTACAACGAGCAATCAGTTGTTGCTGGGTACAGATGTGGCTGTCACTGTCAGCTTTGGCTCTGTATTTGTGCCACTTCTTTTCCTCCTGAATGCTGGCTTAAGTCTCAAAGCATTGCCCTGTTCTTAAGTTAATCCACTCTGATCTCCCCAGAATTTACTAGCTTAGCCACTATATTACTCTGGCACAGCTGTATCGTCCCCAGATCAGCCTGTCTTCTGTCTAGACAGCTTAAAGAGCAGGGAGAGTAGGTACACACAGCCTGAAGCCAACTTTGTGACTTTGGGGGATTTGGGCTTCTCAGAAAAGGTTGTTATTGATGAGCTGCCATAAAATCTGGTAGAGAAAAATAATTGAGACAAAAAAAAAAAACCAAAAAAAAAAAAAA